ACAAATTATAAATGCCATGAGGTGCGGGACCATCACTGTTCACAGGGCCGGACACAGGTAGGTGTTCGATATGGTTCATTCTACATCTCTTACCTCCAGTATTCAAGGCCTCCTGCGTGTTAAGGAGCAGACAATGGAATTTCCTTTTTGTTCTGAGAAGTCTTACTATGTAGTCAGGGCTAGTCTTGTAATCACTGTGTAGCCCAGGCTGGCCTCAAACTCCCAGCGATCCTCAGCCTCAGTCTCCTGAGTGCTGAGATTACCAGTGTGTGTCACCACACCCCGCTTGGAATTTACTTTTACTCCATGCTAACTTTCAGGACAGGACATGCTGTTATGGTTTGTGTCTGGATGTCCCCCCATACCCTCATGCAGTTATGGGGCGGGCTTTTAGAGTTTATGCTTGATCCATGATCCAATGCTGGGATTATGGGTGTGAGTGCTACACTCACCCTGGGTTGGGTAGTTTGCATATGTAAGGGAGGGAAAGAGGCTGCTTGCCGCCACTCCTCCCTTTTTGCTCTTGTTGCTTTTGCTGTCTTCTGCAGCCATGAACTGTTGTCCTCTGCCATGTGCCACCCTGCCTGGGAGCCAGCCAAGTACGGACCGAAACCTCCACAGACAGTGAACTAAATAAACCTTTCCTTCCTTAATTCTGGGTGTCGGGTATTTTGTCTCAGCATCGAGAGAAAAGTAACCAAGACACATGGTTTAGAACATGCTCTTAGAGTTTTCCTTTTTTTTTTTTTTTTTCCCCCTGTCTCAGGATCCAAGGATGGGAATGAGAAAAAGAGCTGAGTCCAAAACAAAAAGAGATGGAAAATGAAATGTCTGTCAAGGAGTAGTTGCCAGCCAGCATGCCAGCTGGCTCCAATCCTGTGAAAGGTGCCACCCTGAGCTCTGCTGGAACCCTAGGCAGAGCCCATGAAGCCTTGGCTCAAGGGCACTGCTCCCTGCAGACCACCGCACTCTCACCTAGACTGTGGCCACAATTTCACTTACCCTTCCCTTCTGGCCAGCCACCAGGAGGTCCACTGTGGGGAGTGGCCTTTCCACTGTGACCAATACTGGGGACCTGGCCAAGATTCCCAACTGCATGTATGAGGGGTACAGCGAAAGGATGAAATAAGAAACAGAGATAAATTTAGTAACACAGCTGGGCCTGGTGGTGCACACCTGTAATCCCAGCATTTGGGAGGCCGAGGCAGGAACCACTGTGAGTTTCGAGACCACCCTGGGCTACAGAGTGAGCTAGCCTGAACGGCATAGCAAGATCCTGTCTCAAAAAGACACACACAAAATTTAGTAATGCATGACTGGCGGGTGCACGCTGGGAGGTTAATGCCTCAGGATGGGCAACAACAAAAGACACTGCAGGCTAGCCAGTGTTTATTGGGTGTACACGATGATCAGAGGGATTCAGATGACTCAGAGGACAGGGGTGAACCTGTGCTGATGGAATCTCTCCCTAGAGTGTCACAGCATTAGGGACCATCCAGGCCTCCAGGTCTGAGCCTCAATTTATAATTTGTGGTCCCCCATAGAGCAGCACCAGGCTGGTTTCTCAGGTGTAAGTACCTGCTCGAGCACCAGTTACCTACTCATGTCCTTGCTGTGGGCGCTGCTTCTGCCACGGGAGCTGCCCAGCCGTCCACACACCGGCTCACACTGGGGAGAAGCCCTACCCATGCCCTGACTGCAAGAGTCGCTTCACTTACCCCTAGCTGCTGGCCATCCACCTGTGCAGGGACACGGGTGAGAAGCCCCAGTCCTGTCCTGACTGCGGCCCCCACTTCACCTACTCCTCAGTCACCAGTGCATTTGCTCTAACCACCAGCGCTGGCCCTGTCCAAGTGTGGCAAAGGCTTCAAGCGGAAGTGTGCTCTGGAGGCTCATCGGTGGATCCATCACTCCGGCGGCGAGAGGCTGAGAGGGCAGCCGGCTGCCTTGGGCTTCCAGAGCCTCTCTTTGTCTTGGGAAGGAATGATCCCCCAGTTCACTTCCTGTATTTGCCAGATATATTTAAAGAGCATGGGTGAAGGGCTCACACAAGCTGATCAGTTTTCTCTGGGATGAAAGAGGCAGGTTTGCAGTTTGGAGGGGTATGGAAAGGGAGTATTTAAGGAAAACAGTGTTCTGTGTTAGGAAACAAGCAGAGGTAAGCTGCGGAGAAGCAGCAGGAATCGAGCTTTGCTAGTTGCAAAGACGTAGAGTAAAACTATATTGTAAAATGTATAGGTACTAAAAAATAGAAATAAACCATATTTTATATTTAAAAAAGAGTAAAGGAGCTAGAAAAAAAAAAAAAGAGTAAAGGAGCTAGGCATGGTGACACAGTCCTGTAATCTCATCACTTGGGAGGCTGAGGCAGGAGGATAGCTTCGAGGCCAGCCTGGCTACACAATGAGTCCAAGGTAAGCCTGAACTACATAGCGAAACTGTCTGAAAAAAATGAGGGGGGATTTAAAAAGATGCTTGAGAGCTACATACATTTTCTGCGGCTCCTGCTCATAGAGCTTCTTATTCTAAATTCTAAGTAAGATTACTTCACTGCAAGCCATCCACCTAACTGGCTTTCCTTTCTGGAATGTTCTCTTCCTCCGAGCACTTTGCTTCCTGGCCCGTATCTCTCCTGCTCATCAGAAATGGGGTCCAGCCTATTAAAGACCCCACACTCAAGGAAGGTTCCTAAGGGAGAAAAATAAGGATTTATGATTTGATGATATCCTTGGTAATTTGGAACAAAGTTAAAGAGCAGATAATGCAAAGGGAAAAATAATTTTGAAACTTCAAGCAGTCAAACAAGAATGGAAATACAGTAAAGAGCTGGGTGTAGTAGTATATACACCTGTAACCCCAGCAGTGTAGAAGGCTAAGGCAGGAAGACCAGTTTCTTGTCAATTTAACCTGGGCCTATTTAGGCAATTTAGCAACTGCTGTGACCCCCTGTCTCAAAATAAAAAATAAAAAGGGTGTGAATGTAGCTCAGTGTGAAGGCCCTGTGTTCAATCTCCAGTGAAGAAGGGGGAAGAGGAGAAAGAAGAAAAGAGTTGCCATGTGCACCTGCACTGAGACAGGGTCTCGCTATGCAGTTCAGACTGGCCTTGAGCTCACTTTGTAACCCAGGCTGGTCTCAAACTCACAACAATCCTCCTGCCTCAGCCTCCTGAGTGCTGGGATGACAGGTGTGTGCCACCACACCCGGTTTATACCCACAACTTGAAGGAGAGGTTTATTAGGCTCAAGGTTTTAGAGGAGTCAGTCCAAGGCAGACCATAATGGTGTACAGATTTGGGAGAGGAAAGTGGCTCAGTTCACACTGGCAAGGGACCTGGGCCAAAGAGGAAGGAAGGGTCAATGGCCCAGACATAGACCCCCAAGTTACACCTCTGTGACTCATCTAGAAACACCCAGAAGTCATTTACTAATCCCCTAGGTGACTCCCAAGCCAATCAAGTTGAAAATAACAGCATACAGGCCAAGGATATAGCTCAGCGGCACAGCGCCTGCCTGGCAAGCCCAAGGTCCTGAGTTCAATTCCCAGTACTCGCCCCTGCAAAAAGAAAGAAAGCGCAGCATACAAGTCACACATTTTTAGGGAATACTTATAATGCTTTACTGCATTAATTGTTTTGAGATTAGAGGTAAGGGGGATGGGGACAGAAACTAAAGCATCAAGTAGTAGGAATGATTCCTTGGCCAAGCATCATTTCTCCACTGGGACTCAACCTCGGCCTATAAGTATTTGGACAAAACACTCCGGTACTTCTGACAGCTCAAGGCCACATCTCTAGGATGATCCTCTCCCACTTAAAGTACCTACCCTAGCTGAGAAAACTGAAGGGTGCCAAAAGAATTTACTGTTTGTAGCCAGGCATGATGGCACACCCCTGTAATACCAGCACTAGGAAGGCTGAGGCAGGAGGACCATCGAGTTCCAGGAAGCCCAGGTGACATAGTGAGAATTCAAGGCCAGGCTGAATTACATAGTGAGACCTTGTCCAAAAAAGCCAAAAAAAAAAAAAAGTTACTGCTTTGTTCCAGGTGGTATCTCAAGACAGGTTCCCTCTCTCCTAGCTCTGTGGGCGGGGAAGGGCGCAACTTTGATACCTGCTAGTTAGCAAACCCATGGGGATTCATGTGGATGAACACATCCGTCTTGATTTTTGTAATTTTTCACTTCCTAGACTCTACTTAGACTCGTTCACCCTTTTACCTTCTCTCTTTATTATCCATTTAAAGTACTTGGGGCCGGGGATATAGCTCAGTGGCACAAGCGCCTGCCTGGCAAGTGCAAGGTCCCAAGTTTCATTCCTGGTACCAAAAAATAAAAATAATAAAATACTCACTAGCCAGGCATGGTGGTGCATGCCTCTAATCTCAGTACTCTGGAGGCTGAGGCAGGAGGATCACTATGATTTTGAGGCCAGCCTGGACTATATAGTGAGTTCAAGGCCAGTGTGAACTACATAGTGAGTCTCTGTCTCAAAAGATAAAATGCAATACAATACAATAAGGTCCTCACTTACCCAGGCATGGTGGTTGCCTGTAATCCTAGCACTCAGGAAAGCTGTGAGTTCAAAGTGAGCCTCCTACAGAAGGAGACCCTGTCTCCAAAAACCAACCAATCATCCACAGTTGTAATCCCACCACGTGGAAGGCTGCGGCAGGAGGATCGCTGTGAGTTCGAGGCTACCCTTAATTATAGCAAGGTTCTGTCTCAACAAACAAGCCAGTTGTGGTGCCGATGCTTGTTATCCCAGCACGTGGGAGACCGAGGCAAGAGGACCACCATGTGTTCAAGCCTAAAATACATAGCAAGACACTCTTAAAAAAAAATTAAAAAAAAAAAAAAAAGCAGTTCAGGCTGGCCTTGAACTCACTATGTATCCCAGAATGGCCTCTAACTCCAGGCGATCTTCCCGCTTCAGCCTCCTGAGTGATGGGGTTTCAGCCTTCCACCACCACGTCAAGCTTTAAAAACATATACATTCGTAAATTTGGCAAAAATTATACTGTAATTTAACCCTTCCCCGTTCCAGTTCCATCCTCACTAAGCTGGTGCAGCTGCAGTCCACAGAATGAGCAAGCAAGGCTAAGGGTGCAAACGGTGCTATTGGCTCCTCAGCTGTAAACACGTACATACTTGGTTTCTTCCTCGGTCTGCTGTACCCAGGGTTGGCCAGGGTGGGTCCGTCTTCCTTCCGTGGTTGGAGGCCAGATGGCAGGTCCCGCCGCAGGGAGGCAACTAGAAGACCGTCACGATCACAACCCTGGGAACCACTAATGCCGAGGTCTTCCACGTATTTCCCTTGGTCAAAGAGGATTCCCGGCCTCCGACCCTTTCAAATGCTCCGCCAGTCCGGGGCCAATCGTGACGCAGCTTCTTCCGTTAGTTACAGCCAATCATCGACGGCTGTGCGTTGACGCCAAAGAGAGGCAAGTGAAGCCTGGACGTGTCCATCTTTCTTGAAGGCAAAAACGTTTTTTGGAACTTCCCGGCCGGTCCTCCCGTTCCCAGCAACGCCGTATCTCCTGAGACGGCAATTGTTTTTATGGGCAAATGGGGCACTAAAGCCAGAGAAGCCAGTAAGGCGCCATATTTGATATACTCAAGAAAGATGCCCTTAAGTACATTCAGCGGCGACTGAAGCCACGTTGCCGCCATATTTTCTAAAGGCGTCTTCCGGGTCTTTTAACTCCGGTACGTCCGTCCGAGCGGCCATGAAGTGGATAGACATCTAGGAGTTTTATTTGTCCTCACGAGAACCCCGAAACTCCTAGCAGCCAGTCCCTGCTACTGCGGCTTCCCTGCCTGGCCGCGCTCGGCGAGCGAGGCGGGGCGGGGCCGGGCAGCCCCTCCCGTGGCCGACGGGAGCTGACGCCGGAAGTGGGGCGGCGGTGGCTCGGGGGACCGGGCGGCCGGCGATAGCGCCGGGATCCCCCATGGCGCCACCCCCAGCCCCGCTGCGGGGGCCGCGACCCGGGGAGACCCAGCCTGGTTGCAGGAAGCCCGGGGTCGTGAGGTTCGCGGACGTGGCCGTGTACTTCTCCCCGGAGGAGTGGGGCTGTCTGCGGCCCGCGCAGAGGACCCTGTACCGGGACGTGATGCGCGAGACCTACGGCCTCCTGGGCGCGCTCGGTGAGGCCCCGAGCCTGGGTCCCCCACCTCCTCCAAGGGTTACCAGGGGCGACGGTGTAGGAGGACCGACTGCTCAGTGAGCTGTAGGCCTGCACTATTCCAGCGGCACCAGCCACCAGCTGTTCTCGGATGTAGCTTCCCCCTCGGGAGACTTCCTGCCCCGCATCCTTTTCAATCAGGCAGGACCTCTGCACACCCCGTCTGAGTTGCGCTTAAGTTCTGTGTTGGTGCCCTCACCTCGGCTGGGGGATGCCACCTTCCCGGGACAGCCTCTCAGGCCAGCACTGTGATCCCTGTTCTCTCCCAGGATTCCCGGGCCCCAAACCAGCCCTCATCTCTTGGATGGAACAGGAGAGTGAGGCTTGGAGCTCCGCCGCCCAGGATCCTGAGGAGGGGGAAGGCCTGGTAGGAGCTCTGAGAGGTGAGGGATGGTCCCAGGACTCCTCTGACTTGGTTTTCCAGGGTTTCCTGTCTAGCACAGTTTTCTCTCAAGTCCCGTAAGCAAAGAGCTAAAGCCAGGCGCAGTGGCACACACATGCAATCTCAGTACTGAGGGAGGCTGAGTGAGGAGTGCAAGTTTGAGTCCCAGCCGTGCAATTTTAGCAAGACTCTCAAAATTTAACACAAAGTCGGGTGTGTTGGTGCATGCCTGCAATCCCAGCACTTGGGAGGCTGAGGCAGAAGGATTGTTGCGAGTTCGAGACCAGCCTGGGCTACAAAGTGAGCTCAAGGCCAGCCTGAGCTGCACAGCAGACCGTGTCAAAAAAAAAAAAAAGTAAAAAAGACTGGAAGCTGTAGCTCAGTGGAAGAGCACCTCTCGGTTTGATCTCCATTACCACCACACGCACACAAAGAGGCGATCTATATGGGACACTGGAGGAGGAAAGAAGGCAGCCGAAGTACTTAGAAAAGTTTTAGATCTTGGGACCATAGTCATGTCAAGACCAGAGTGGGAACCAGGAGCCCAAACCCAAGACTTCTAGGTTTCCAGGTCCCTCTTGCAGAAAACACCTGGCCTCAAACTCAAGCGATCCTCCTGCCTCAGCCTTCCGAGTGCTGGGATTACAGAGGTGTGTTGGGATTACAAGCGAATTCCAGTATACCTAGCTACTCCCTCTTTCATGAAAAAGTAAAATAGCCTTAAAAATGGAAGCAACTTCAGGTTTGCCTTTCAGCTCCTCAAGCAAAGTAAAGGGTACAAGAGAAATTGTCCAGCAATTGACACCTTGGCTCTTCTGCCCTCACCATCTTCTAGGGAGTGATCTGGAGCAAATAGGTTTCCTCATCTGGAAAAGTCTTACTCTAAAATACTTGAATAGGAAACCACATTAGTAACTTGTGCTTACTGAGCGTTTACTAAGTGCTTGCCGTGCATCTACTAGTTTAATTCTCCCAGCAACACTGTGGAGTAAAGAAATTATTTTTCCCATCTGACGCATAAGAAAGGAGATTCGAGCTGTTTATTTTCCACCAAAGTGTGTATGTTAGTCGCTGGGCAGTACCCTTCTGGCACTACCATAAGTAAAGGCCCCTATGACCTGAGATAGTCTATGAATAAGTGTTTTAAATTCCTGTTTCTTAGCAGACACGCCAACCAAGGAGGAGGAAGCTGAGGAAGGACCGGGAGACAAGGGGCCTGGAATGACCCCTGGGGAGGAGCCGCCTGAAGAGTTGGTTAAACACAGTCCTAACTCATCTGTCAGCAAGGCCGCGGCAAGGTCACAGCCACCCAGAGAAGCCACCTGGGATCAGATGGCTGCCGCTGAGTCTCCTGTCCCTGCGCCCACCGCGGACGCTCCGGCCAGCCAGCGGTGCCACGTGTGTGCGGACTGTGGCCGCCGCTTCACCTACCCCTCGCTGCTGCTGAACCACCGGCGCATGCACTCCAACGAGCGGCCCTTCCCCTGCCCCGAGTGCGGCATGCGCTTCAAGCGGAAGTACGCCTTGGAAGGGCACCAGTGGATCCACCGCTCCTGCTCGGGGGGTCGGCGGGGCCGGAGACCTGGGATCCGGGCTGTGCCTCGGGCCCCAGTCCGCGGTGACTGGGACCCACCTGTGCTCTTCCGGCACTACCCTGACATCTTTGAGGAGTGCGGGTGAACAGCTCCTGCAGGCTGGAGTTGAGCCCAATGTTACTTACACTAAGGACTGCCTGGCTCCTGAGGCAGGGACTTGGGACCTGAAATTCATCCCTTGGGTTTTCTCCCAAGGATCCCTCTCGAACTCGCAAGTTTCTAAACTTGTAAATAAGAAAAGTGCCTGTAACGACTAAACAGATCAAACCAGGAGTGGTGGTGCACACCTGTTATCCCAGCACTGGGGAGGCTGAGTCAGGAGGATCACTGTGAGTTTGAGGCCAGCCTGAACTACACAATGAGACCCTGTGTCCAAAAAAAAAATTTTTTTTTTCAAAAAAGATCAAATAGATTAAATTTGACAACCTTCTTCCCATTCTTTTGTTTAAAAACAAAAACGAAGAAGGTAGAGGAGAGAATCAGATGCTGGACTTTTCTCACAGTGTTACCTCAGTAGCAGGTACAGGTGAGACCTTTCCCTTATCTCAGGGAACACCCACTGGATCTTTATTTGCTTAGGAGGTAAAAGGTGAGCTGGGACTCAGGCCTGGGGGAAGGCCCCAGGGGCGGGGCATGGTCTGACCCTGGTTAACTAAGTGCCCCCAGCAGGAAGCCAGGTAGCTGGGGTGGGGGGCGTACAGACCCATGTGGAACACACCTAGTCTGTGCAGGTTGTCCAGAGGCGTTGCTGGTAAGTCACGTGGCCCCCTGAGCCTCAGTTCCCTAATCTGTAAAAGGAAGGAAGGTTAACATCATCTACCTCAAAGGTTTGGTGTGAAGACTGAAGTCTTAATGGGATAATATGTATGAGATAGTAAATGTGCAATAAACGTGTTGAATGAGTGAATTATTATCAGTAGTTTGCACTTTAGAGAGTGTAAAGACCTACTACCAGGAAAAAAAAAAAATGTCTAAGGAAGCCGTCTAAGGAGGCAGGCATGGAGACCCACAGCCATGTTTGCAGATAAGTAAACTGAGGCTCAGAGAGATAAAATGATGCTCCCAAAGTTTCACTGCTCTTTGGCACCAAGACTAGAGACTGACAAAGAGCCCAGAGAGAGCCCAGGGAGCCCCAGCAAGACTGTACATCCAGGGACTTTGCATTAAGCCCTCCTTTGGAGAGACTGTACTGAGCAATAAGGAAATTCCAGGAGGGGGAAAGCTGATATCGCTTATTCATTCATCAGACGCTGCCTGAGGCCTGAGGTTTTGTGCTGGGCTCCCAGAGCACAACTGACTCAGGCCCACATTCCACCTGGGAAGAGAGTGCTTGGTCTGTGACAGGAAGTCCAGAGGCACCTCCTTTTTTTTTTTTTTTTTTTTTTTTTGTCTTTTTGAGACAGGGTCTCATTATGCAGTGCTGGCTGTCCTTGAGCTCACTTTGTAGCGCAGGCTGGTCTCCAACACGCAACGATCCTCCTGCCTCAACCTCCCGAGGGCTGGGATTACAGGCATGCGCCACCATGCCTGGCTGACACCTCCTAACCCAGCCTGGCTGCTGCTGATTTGCCAGGAAATGTTTCTGGAGAAGGAGATGGCTGTGCTTCCCCGGACATGAGGATCAGCTGGTGTAGGGCAGGTTTTCCAGTAGAAGGAGCAACAAGGGAGGCTTTTTCACCGCCTCCCTTGTTCTTTTTTTTTTTTTGTACCAGAAATCGAACTCACGATCTTGCACTTGCCAGGCCCTGGTTAACTAACCGCTGAGCTATATCCCTGGCCCCTCGCCTCCCTTGTTCTGTAAGGAACAGTAGAATAAGATGAAGAGCATGGGCTCGAGTCAGACCATCTGGGTTCAGCCCTAACTCACTTGCTCTGTGCTGTGCAATCTTGAGCACATCACTGCTTGCTCAAGTCACCTTTCTGCAGCTCAGTCTCCCCTTCTCTAAAACCGGGATAATAACAGCAGATATCTCAAGACTGGTGTAAGGATTAAATGAAATAATGTAGAACAAAATCTCGCACATTACTGAGGTTTTTGTTGTTTTGTCTCGTGCCATGTGTAGCTCAGCTCTTGAAACTCCAGAGGGATGACGTGGAGGATGGAGGGGACAGGAGTCAATATACGAAAGCTGAGGTCAGGTGGAGCCCTCTCTCCTGATGGGAGAAAGGAACTTCCCAGCATGTGCAACTGTTTATTTATACAATCAGCATATGAGTAAGTTCATGGAGAGTTAAAGGGGAAGCCAGGCGTGGTGGTACATGCCTGTAATCTCAGCACTTGGGAGGCTGAGGCAGGAGAATTACAGTGAGTTTGAGGCCAGCCTGGGCTACAAAGTGAGCTCAAGGCCAGCCTGAACTGCATAGTGAGACCCTGTCTCAAAAAGAAAAAAAAAAGAGCCAGGCATGGTTGTGCATGCCTGTAATCCCAGCACTCAGGAGGCTGAGGCAGGAGGATCATGTCGAGTTCAAGACCAGCCTGGGCTACAAAGTGAGCTCAAGACCAGCCTGAACTGCCTAACGAGACCCCATCTCAAAAAAAAAAAAAAAAAAGGAAAGTTAAAAGGGAGGGTAGGATCTGGGACAGGAAGGATCTCTAATCTGTAGCTGAACAGCATGCCTTGGTGGCTTCATGGGGATCAAGAGGAAACTGGCTGGGCATGGTGGCACACGCCTGTAATCCCAGCACTCAGGAGGCTGTTGCAGGAGGATTGTTGCAAGTTCGAGACCAGCCTGGGCTACAAAGTGAGCTCAAGTCCAGCCTGAACTGCATAGCGAGACCCTGTCTCAGAAAAAAAAAAAAAAAAAAAAACCAGGGCTGGGGATGTAGCTCAGCGGCATAAGCACTTGCTTATCAAGTGCAAGGTCCTGACTTCCAATTCTCAGTACCAAAACAAACAAGCAAACAAACCAAACCAATTATATAGAGTGGTCCTGGGCACTTGAGTAACTGAGACTATCTATTCTTGGCTTCACGTTAGTGTTTAATAAATACTGGCTATTGTTACTGTAATACAATACAAAATAGTACGTGAGAGAACTGGAGGAGACTGGGCAAGTCTTCTGAATCAAGGAAGGCTTCCTACATGAGATGGTTCAAACTGGCCTTGAAGAGTGAGAAAGGTCAACAGGACCTCTCTGGGAAAGCATGCGTTGGGGAGGTGAGCAGTTCCACTTTACTACAACATAAAGCACTACACAGAGCTGGGCATGGTGAAACACGTCTGTCTAGAATCCCGGCACTTTGGGAGACTGAGCCAGGAGGACCCTAAATTTGAATCCTGCCTCCGCGATTTAGCAAGACCCTGTCTCAAAATTAAAAATAATAGAACTGGCTATGTAGCTCAGTGATAGAGCACTGCTAGGTTCAGCCCCCTGTACTGGTGCAGCGAAAATGCCCCTCCTGGGGGCTGGGGATTTAGCTCAGCAGCAAAAGCGCCTGCCTGGCATGCGCAAGGTCGTGAGTTCGGTTCCCGGTACCGGAGAAAAACAACAACAACAAAAAAATGCCCCTCCCGGCCAGTATATGTCAGTGGCTGTCAGTTGCCCCAGTAACAGTTCCTGTTACTTCCGTGTTACTTCCGTTTCTTAGAAACAGCTGGTCAGTGTGATGCATATTGTAGAACCGATCGATCGGAGACTGCCAAGTATTTTATCTCTGTACTTCCCTTTGCAACCCCATAAAAACCTCCCTCCCCGAGCTTTTGGGGTCTGACATTTTTTACAAATGTGCCTCCAAATCCTGGGGGGTGTTTGGTGTTTCTGTTTGCCATTGCACTGGGGAAAAAAAAAAAAAAAAAAAAAAAAAAAGAGCAAGGTATAGAATAACAGAAAACGGGTTTGGCCGAGGGGGTAAAATCTCACAGGACACTGAGTCTCAGCAGAGGAACCTGATTTATCCTCAGGCACTGAGGAACCACAGAAAGTCCTGGAGCATGAGCAGGGCTGTTTTACAGATGCCATCAGAAGATGTCTTTGCAAAGCTTCATGGAGTGGGGCCTGTGGGAGGGTCCAGACATTAGCAATCTGCTGGACGTCTACCGCCTGGTGGAGGTCATCAGGAGCTGGGATCAAGGGTGGAGATGCAGAATTGAGAAGGAAGATATGCAGGACGATTTTTGCCTTACTGTCTGCATGCTGCACATATGGGCTGTGAGCATGTAAGATCCCAGAAGGAGCAAGCATGGAGAGCAGGCGCAACCGGGCGTGGTGGTGCATGCCTGTAATCCCAGCACTCAGGTGGCTGAGGCAGGAGGATTGTTGCGAGTTCGAGACCAGCCTGGGCTACAAAGTGAGCTCAAGGCCAGCCTGAACTGCATACTGAGACCCTGTCTCAAAAAGAAAAAAAAGAGAGTGTGCAGGTGCAAAGGAGCCCCAGCAGTGGGTGGGCTGAGCAATCAGGAGTGCCAGGGTGTGAAGTCAAGGGTGGTGGTCCTGGGGAGGGGTGAGTCCAAGAGGAGGTGGAGCAGAGACAGGAAGCCCTGCCAGCGAGGGAAGAGTGGAGCCAGGCACAGTGCATAAAGCACAAGTTTGCACAAGTCATTCTATACAAGGCTATTCGCTCTTTCTCATTTACCCATTTAACAAGTGTCTACCACTTACTAGTTGCTATTTGTGTGCCAGGATGTAGCAGAGAAAATGGACAGAGGAAGCCGGGCGTGGTGGCGCACACCTGTAACCCTGCACTCAGGAGGCTGAGGCAGGAGGACCGTTTCGAGTTTGAGGCCACCCTGGGCTACAAAGTGAGCTCAAGGCCAGCCTGAGCTGCATAGCGAGACCCTGTCTCGAAGACAAACAACAACAACAACAAAAAACGGACATAGGAACTCTTATGGAGCTTACATTCTAGGGGAAAATGGAGAAACAAGTAATAAAACCAGGACATAGCCAGGCGTGAAAGTGCACACCTGTAATCACAGTGCCGGGGAGGCTGAGGCAGGGACATATCTGTGAATTGAAGGCCTGCTTGAACTGCATAGTGAGACCCTGTCTCAAAAAAAAAAAAAAAAAAAAAAAAAAAAGCAATAAAAGAAAGCATAGACGGACCAGGGATATAGTTTAGCGGCATAAGCTCTTGCCTTGCAAGCCTGAGGTCATGAGTTTGATTCCTGGTACCAAAAAAAAAGAAAACAAAAGCAAAGCATAGACAAGGTACAATAAATACAAATAAGCAGCACAGAGCAGGGCGCGGGGTGTAGCTCAGTGGTACAGCACCTACATAGCATGTGTGAAGCCTTTGGTTTGGTTCTCATGGCTTCCAAAATCCAGAGATGAGAACCATGGGAGCCGGGTGGGAGTCAGGGAGGGTGACGTCTCCGAGGCCGGGGCGGGGTGGGAAGTGGCTAGAGGGCCCAGCAGTGGGATGCTGTGAGCTCGGGGTGAGTTTGGGTGAAGTCCAGGAAGGACACCTGTAGCCGGACATAGCGACTGAATGGAGATTTACAAATGGACTTGAAGGGGCAGGCACAGGTCACAGGGTGTCTGGCTGGCCATGATACAAAGTTTGTATTGTTTTTATTTTATTTATTTATTTATTTATTTTGGTACTGCGAATCAAATTCAGGACCTTGTGCTTGCCAGGCAGGTGCCTGTGCCAGTGAGCTATATCACCAGCATGATGGAGTATTTTTTTTTTTTTTTGGCAGTAACGGGAATCGAAGATGGAGTGTTCTGACAACTCCGCCTTAGGTAATTTGATCATTGGGTGATCCAACATCATAGAGTCCTTACATCAACTAAGAAGAGTCACTAGGCTATGGGCCATGGTGGATTTTCTGTGCATTGTTTTTATTTATTTATTTTTTAAAAAATTTTTTTGGTACTAGGAATCAAACTCAGGACCTTACACTTGCCAGGCAGGCGCTTGTGCCGCTGAGCTACATCCCTAGCCCTTTGTGCATTTTTGACCAA